TGCAGGATTTGAGCTCTGGCTCTTGGGTCCCGCCTATCTGGTAGAACTTGCGGGATAGTACCAGTGGAGTGCAGTGGTGCTATTGGCACATTTGGGGAACACTGTATTACCATCAGAGGTCTGTGCTTGTTCCACGACCTACTTGCTAGCATAAGCCTCCTTGCTGGTTCGTCCGTGGACTTCCAGGGCACACTAGCCTGTTTTCGTATGGCAGTTCCGGCCCGTCCTGGTTGTGGGGGTATGTGGGCCGGTGGACTGCTCCTAGCAGCTGCCTGGTGGGCCACCCTCTGGCCGGTCTAGCCTGGCCTTGGGCCGGGCTTGAGGTGTGAATTGAGCTCCCAGTACCTCATCCAGCAGGTATCGAGCGGGGTTTCTCCGCCGTCGGTCGCTTGGTGCAGGTTTCTGGGCCTGCGGGGTTTTGTCGTGTCTGTTGGCCCTGTCTGGGGTCTGCCTGCTCCGTTCTCTGCCTTTGCAGAAGAGAGTTGCTACGTTACATGTTGCATGTTGCAGTGGTGCCTGTTGCTGCTGCTGCACGTGTGCATTGGTACCGTGTTTCACGGTGGCGTGTCCTTGTTCCTGTGTCCGGTTGTGGAGTGGCGCTTTGCTGCCGTTTTGTGCCTGGGGATTGCGTGGTTTTTTTTTTGTCCCTGCCTGATTGTCCACCCCTGGTTGTTATCCTGGGGTTTTTGTGCTTCTGCTCTTTCTTCCTGCCTCCTCTGCAGCAGGTGTGTTCTGCATGTGTTCATAGGCGTTTGTCCGCCTGTGTCCTGTGATGTGCTTCTTTGTCTCAGTCTATTGCAGTTGTTTGTACCCCTTGGTTCGGGTACTGTTCTGGCAGCGACCTTTCCGCCTTCTTTGGTTTCCTAGCTTGCCCTGCCGGTTTTTTTTTTTTTTTGGGTCTTGCGATGTCTCGCGTCGGACCCGTCGTTTTTGAACTCCTGGCGGGCTTGCATGCTTTGGGGGAGTTTTTTCTGTTCGGCAGACGTTCCATCTCCTTGTGCCGTCTGGGTTTCGGTGGTCACGCCCGAGATCTTCCCGCGGCTCCGCCTTTTCCTGGGCTCAGAGGGGCCTTGTCGGGGCTGCTTATGTTCTGCTTTGCGGTCTCGCCTCCGGTTGGTGGTCGGGTGGCTTCGTGGTAGGTGTCCCACCTGCCTGCTTCTCTTGTCGGCAGTATGGGGTATTTTGGCGGTCCTTCCTTTTCCTGTCCCTTCTTAGGTGGTGGTTAGCTTGGTTTACTCTCGGCTTGGTTTTCTGGTGGGGGTTGGGGGCCGTCGTCTTGCCACATACTGTCGCCTCTTTTCGTGCTGCGCGGGCGGAGCCGCTTCAGCTTGCTTTCGGTCTTGGTGTTGCTTCTGCACCGTTAGTCAGCTGTCTTGTGCGTTGTTTCACCTCCGGCCTGTTCATGCGCCGCTTGCACCATCCTGGTCTCTGGTCAGCGTGTGCTGTCTTCTCCTCGGTTGGTAGTGCCCCTTCGGTTCCGGTGTGTTATTTCATTGGCTCTTTCCTTTTGGCCTTTGCCTCTGGGGGTCGAGTCGCTGAGTTTTCTTGCTCCTTCGGTTTTAGCGTTTTGGTTGTTCGGTGGCAGCAGTCTCCATCTTTTCTGGCGCGGGGTGGGGCTGCTGCGTTCTGGAGGGGTCCAGGGTTTGTTGGTGCTTCGTTGGTCGGGCCGGGGGTGTCGTTTTTTGTGTTCAGTGGCGGCCCTCCGCTGTTGTTTGAGTGCCACAGCGTTTGGGTCCGGAGCGCGTTTTGCGTTGATCAGGTTCTGTTCTTCCTGGTTCGCGGGTGATAGTGTCCCGGGTGGTCAGCCGTGTTCTTGCGGCTAAGCTGCCTGTGTTCTTCCCTCATGCCTGTGGCGTTCGTGGCTTCGCTGCTCTTGCTGCCGTCTGGGCGACGTGGCCTTGCGGTCTTTCGGGCATGGTTTTTTGGTGTTTGTGCAGGGGCGTTGCTGCTCGTTGTTCTCGTGTTGTTCCCGGGACTTTTCGGGGCTGTGGCGCCTTGGGTTGGCGTTTGCTGCCGGTTGTCTCGCCTCCTTGGGGGGTGCGTGGTGTCCGCCTCCCGGTTCTGTCCCTTTGACCTTCCTCTGTGGGTAGTTAGCTCCGGGGAGCCGACGGGGCTCCCCCCAGAAAACCAGCGTTGAATGTAATGAAACGCCATTTTCTGGGTGAGACCCGGAGGCTCCCGGCAACCCCCTCTCCCTCCGGTCGGCGGTTTTTCGCGTGTTTTGACATCCAGCTTCAGAACTGATGGGTGGATAGCCGGCGTGGGAGGTCTGGGGCTCCCCCTTCCCCCTCCCGGGGAGGGGGGAGCTGCACAGACAGCGGCGCGGTGACGTATGACGTCATACTAGTTTCCTTGTTTTCTGTTGAAGAGTTCTATCCACTAGTTCGGCTTTAGGTAGCAATTTTCACCAGAATAGGGGTTTGTTTTGGAATGCTTACCTTTCTGGATGCTTGACCCAGTCGATGGCAGACATAGAATGCTTCCAACCACACGGGGGTTTCTATAGGCCATTGCTCCCCTTGCCTCTCTGAGGGGGCCAGGTTCTGGCCGTGGTCCCCGGTAGGCCCTAGGACTCCATACACATGACTGATGCCAAAGTCTGACATTAGCATATCAGCCGGTAAAGCTCCGGGGAGCCTCCGGGTCTCGCCCAGAAAATGGCGTTTCATTACATTCAATGCTGGTTTTTTTGTTTATTTTTGGTTAAGTTGCTCCAGGGGCTGTCCACAGAAAACCAGCATTGAATGTAATAAAATGCCATTTTCTGGACGAGACCTGGAGGCTCCCCAGCATCCCTCCCTCCCTCCAGTCGATGTTTTTTTGTGTTTTTGATATTCAGCCTCTGAACTGGGGTTGGGTCGCCGGCGCTGGAGGTCTGGGGATTCCACCACCGCTTCCTCAAACAGCGGCACGGCGGCTGTGGTGACATCATGCTTGTTTTCCGATTGGGGAGTCCTGCTTGCTCGTTCGTCTTTCAGTGTGCAATTTCTAACCAGCTGTAGTTGGTGTTGGGATTCCTACCTTTCTGGGTACCTGACCTGGTAGATGGCAGACAGGCTGCTTCCAACTACTTGGGGGTCTATAGGCCATTGCTCCTCGTGCCTCTCTGAGGGGGCCAGGTTCTGGCTTGTGGTCCTCTGTAGGCTAGAACTCCATCAATTGACTGTTGCCACAGTCTAATATATACACATCAGCCTGGTATAGCTCCGGGGAGCCTCCAGGTGTCGCCTAGAAAATAGCATTTCATTATATTCAACACTGTTTTTTGGGGACTTGTATTAGTTTAAAGCTAGTTATGTACAGCAGAAGTATAGCTTGTTGAGCCCATACCATTTGATGGTTATCTTAAGATGATTTCGGGGCTTAGTGTCCCCGCGGCCCGGTCCTCGACCAGGCCTCTCCCCCCAGTAAGCAGCCCGTGACAGCTGACTCACTCCCAGGTACTTATTTACTGCTAGGTAACAGGAGCATCAGGGTGAAAGAAACCCATTGTTTCTCGCCGGCGCCTGGGACTGAACCCGGGATCACAGGATCACGCGTGCAGTGTTCTGTCTGCTCAGCCACCGGCTCCCTTTGGATCAGCCACCAGTCTTCTGGATCATAGACTTTGGTAATTTGAATTGTTGTCTATTGGTCATTTTGGCATAACACTTGTGTTACAGGCAAAACTCTCCCTGGTGCAGTATAGAAAAGTGACATATGGAGTATTTTGACCATGACAATCATTCTTTATATATCCTTCAATCCCTTCTTGGGCTCAAGGTGAGTTTGTTCATGTTTTTTCAGTGTCAGAATTAGGTGTCCTTATTTAAACCTACATATCTTGGCATGTACCTTGCAAAGTTACCACTAAACATAGTGTGTGAGCACAAAATTATCAGTGCTAATGATTTCTATTTTTGGAGTCTGCAGATTCTTGGCATAATCTTTATTTTTGTTGAGAATTTTCAACCTTTTCTTGTTGCCGCGACCTGTGACTCTCGGCTGTAAAACATGGGCTCTGCTCAGTATTCTGTTCCTGATTTCTCTGTAGATGAAGGTTCAACTTGTATGTTATCAGCATTGTGCTTGGGCTAAGATGTGTCAGTCCTCTGTAATGCTGGTGGATGCTGGGATTAAGGCAGGAGATACTGAACATTCTTTTTCCTTGGAAATTTTAATGAATTTTCCAACCTCTGCAGTTTTTTGGTTCCTCCTCCTATGCATAGGAGGACCCTTCATTGCTTCCTCTGAGGAATGGGGCAGTCTTTCAGAACCACCAATTCCTCCCTATTGTGCCCCAAGGCTAGCTTTGGCTCCTATGTGAGGCTCAGATTTTTCTCATTGATGAGAAAAATTCTCAACAGTGAGAATTCTTCTCATGCTGAGAATGTGCTCAGTTTGAGACAGTGGTTAAGGAACTGTTTTTTTCTGCATTGGTGGGTATGATGATCTCTCCATAGGTGCTGTCCAAGAGTTAATGATGGTTTCATTTTATGCTGCATTAAAAATGTGCGTTATCTATGACCATAGATGATAGGGCTGATAACCCTTCCATCACCTTAATCTTAGATGTACTAAACAGTAAAGGTGTTCACTAATGTAGGACGGGGAAATTTCATGGCTGCCAAAATCTTCGAATCCCCACATAGCCAGAAACAGAAATATGTGGATTCCACGTGCAGGTGATGAGTCACAATAACGTGGCTGAAGTATGTTGACCAGACCACACACTAGAAGGTGAAGGGACGACGACGTTTCGGTCCGTCCTGGACCATTCTCAAGTCGATTGTGTTGACACAATCGACTTGAGAATGATCCAGGATGGACCGAAACGTTGTCGTCCCTTCACCTTCTAGTGTGTGGTCTGGTTAACATGTGGCTTCCACTCTAATTGCATTAGAATGGTCTAGTTAGAGGATGATACAGAGGTATATGTAACAGAGTTGACAGCTGATTGGAGGTGACTGACTTGGTCTTGAACATGATTAATTAAATTAATTAAACTGTATTCCTTGCAGATCGCCGATTTTATAAACTACAAGAATTAGAAAAGATGCTGTCTGTTGCAGATTTTGGCGAAGATTTTGTGCCAACAGACCCAACACATCACCTAAAGTCAACCCTTGTGCTCAAAACTAATTTGGATAGTAGTCTTAAGGTAAACTCTGCTCACAAAAATTGTTGAAAATGATAATATTGCTTACAAAGGATTTTTTTATTAATTAAATGGCTAAACATCTACTATATCTGTATTTTTGATGCTCATTTTTCTTTTGTGAAATCCCATCTTGAATTGGGTGATTTCAGGTTGAATTTTCTTTAGATATTTCAAGTACTGTACCTGTAAGTGTTGAAGACTATTGAAAAACCCACAGCTTATAAAGAATAAAATACAGTGTGGTGAATATGTGCCCATAATATATGTATGAATAGACAGACTGATAGGAGGATGGTTATATCAGTGAGCAAGGCATATTTTGTTTATATGAAAGGAAAATGTCCAGGGACTTTCTCTTCTTAAAAAACCATAAAGATTCGGTACATGAAACTAGTTGATAACGTAGCAGATGTGTATGTTGTGCCCCAGGTATCCAACCTGTCCGCATCCTTGTAACGTATCGGAAATTGGAGAAAGGAGGAGGAAAACTCAGTGAAGTGGGAGGAGGTTGAAGATGAGTTGAAGAAAGGGCTAAGGAGAAGGAAGAAGGGAAAAGGGAAAGGAAGGAAGGAAGATGGACTAGGAAAAGAAGGGGGCTGGAGAAGGAAGGAGGAAAAAAGGAAGGGCTGAAGGAAAGAGATAGAAAGTGCTGCCACCATCTATTCAGGTTGTTTATAAGACAAGGAATGGAACTTGTCTGTACCACAATATTATCTGATATTATCAAGCAACAACTGTAAGAATGTAAATCATATAGTCAAGAATCTTTAAGTCATAATCTTTAGCATGTAAACTTCAGAGTACTCTCCACTCTAGCTTTCACTGTATCAAGAGACATGAATCTAAGATCTAGGGATCAGAATTAGACACTTTAAAAGTAAGCTAATCAATTAGATATTTATTATTATTTATTCACTCATCTGGATGTCAGAACTAAACCACTTGATGTTCAAATGTCAACATGAATTCATAATTTGAGTCGCCACACAAGAATTTGAGAGCAACTACGGCTGACTGCTCATGAAAATCACACAACATATAACTTTGGAAAACACCAAATACATCCACCTTCTCAGTCAACTCACCAAAGTGTCAATTCCTGCCCTATACCTAGCCATTCCTGCCTTCCACCTAGCCATTCCTGCCTTCCACCTAGCCATTCCTGCCTTCCACCTAGCCATTCCTGCCTTCCACCTAGCCATTCCTGCCTTCCACCTAGCCATTCCTGCCCTCCTCCTAGCCATTCCTGCTCTCCACCTAGCCATTCCTGACCTCCACCTAGCCATTCCTGACCTCCACCTAGCCATTCCTGACCTCCACCTAGCCATTCCTGCCCTCCACCAAGCCATTCCTGCCCTCCACCTAGCCATTCTTGCCCTCCACCTACCCATTCTTGTATTCCACCTAGCCATTCCTGCCCTCCACCTAGCCATTCCTGCCCTCAACCTAGCCATTCTCGCCCTCAACCTAGCCATTCTCGCCCTCCACCTAACCATTCTTGCCCTCCACCTAACCATTCTTGCCCTCCACCTAGCCATTCTTGCCCTCCACCTAGCCATTCTTGCCCTCCACCTAGCCATTCTTGCCCTCCACCTAGCCATTCTTGCCCTCCACCTAACCATTCTTGCCCTCCACCTAACCATTCTTGCCCTCCACCTAGCCATTCTTGCCCTCCACCAAGCCATTCTTGCCCTCCACCAAGCCATTCTTGCCCTCCACCTAGCCATTCTTGCCCTCCACCTAGCCATTCTTGCCCTCCACCTAGCCATTCTTGCCCTCCACCTAACCATTCTTGCCCTCCACCTAGCCATTCTTGCCCTCCACCTAACCATTCCTGCCCTCCACCAAGCCATTCTTGCCCTCCACCTAGCCATTCTTGCCCTTCACCTAGCCATTCTTGCCCTCCACCTAGCCATTCTTGCCCTCCACCTAGCCATTCTTGCCCTCCACCTAGCCAGTCTTGCCCTCCACCTAGCCATTCTTGCCCTCCACCTAGCCATTCTTGCCCTCCACCTAACCATTCTTGCCCTCCACCAAGCCATTCTTGCCCTCCACCTAGCCATTCTTGCCCTCCACCTAGCCATTCTTGCCCTCCACCTAACCATTCTTGCCCTCCACCAAGCCATTCTTGCCCTCCACCTAGCCATTCTTGCACTCCACCCTAGCCATTCTTGCCCTCCACCTAGCCATTCTTGCCCTCCACCTACCCATTCTTGCCCTCCACCAAGCCATTCTTGCCCTCCACCCTAGCCATTCTTGCTTTCCACCTAGCCATTCTTGCCCTCCACCTAACCATTCTTGCCCTCCACCTAGCCATTCTTGCCCTCCACCTAGCCATTCTTGCCCTCCACCTAGCCATTCTTGCCCTCCACCTAGCCAGTCTTGCCCTCCACCTAGCCATTCTTGCCCTCCACCTAGCCAGTCTTGCCCTCCACCTAGCCATTCTTGCCCTCCACCTAGCCAGTCTTGCCCTCCACCTAGCCAGTCTTGCCCTCCACCTAGCCAGTCTTGCCCTCCACCTAGCCATTCTTGCCCTCCACCTAGCCATTCTTGCCCTCCACCTAACCATTCTTGCCCTCCACCTAGCCATTCTTGCCCTCCACCTAACCATTCTTGCCCTCCACCTAGCCATTCTTGCCCTCCACCTAACCATTCTTGCCCTCCACCTAGCCATTCCTGCCCTCCACCAAGCCATTCTTGCCCTCCACCTAACCATTCTTGCCCTCCACCTAACCATTCTTGCCCTCCACCTAGCCATTCTTGCCCTCCACCTAGCCATTCTTGCCCTCCACCTAGCCATTCTTGCCCTCCACCTAACCATTCTTGCCCTCCAACAAGCCATTCCTGCCCTCCACCAAGCCATTCTTGCCCTCCACCAAGCCATTCTTGCCCTCCACCTAGCCATTCCTGCCCTCCACCAAGCCATTCCTGCCCTCCACGAAGCCATTCTTGCCCTCCACCTAGCCATTCTTGCCCTCCACCTAGCCATTCTAGCCCTCCACCAAAACCATTCCCGCCCTCCACCAAGCCATTCCCGCCCTCCACCTAGCCATTCTTGCCCTCCACCTAGCCATTCTTGCCCTCCACCTAACCATTCTTGCCCTCCAACAAGCCATTCCTGCCCTCCACCTAACCATTCTTGCACTCCACCTAACCATTCTTGCCTTCCACCTAGCCATTCTTGCCCTCCACCTAGCCATTCCTGCCCTCCACCTACCCATTCTTGCCCTCCACCTAGCCATTCCCGCCCTCCACCTAGCCATTCTTGCCCTCCACCTAGCCATTCTTGCCCTCCACCTAGCCATTCTTGCCCTCCACCCAGCCATTCTTGCCCTCCACCTAGCCATTCTTGCCCTCCACCTAGCCATTCTTGCCCTCCACCTAGCCATTCTTGCCCTCCACCTAGCCATTCTTGCCCTCCACCTAGCCATTCTTGCCCTCCACCTAGCCATTCTTGCCCTCCACCTAGCCATTCTTGCCCTTCACCTAGCCATTCTTGCCCTCCACCTAGCCATTCTTGCCCTCCACCTAGCCATTCCTGCCCTCCACCTAACCATTCTTGCCCTCCACCAAGCCATTCTTGCCCTCCACCTAGCCATTCTTGCCCTCCACCAAGCCATTCTTGCCCTCCACCTAGCCATTCTTGCCCTCCACCTAGCCATTCTAGCCCTCCACCAAAACCATTCCCGCCCTCCACCAAACCATTCCCGCCCTCCACCAAGCCATTCCCGCCCTCCACCTAGCCATTCCCGCCCTCCACCTAGCCATTCCCGCCCTCCACCTAGCCATTCCCGCCCTCCACCTAGCCATTCCCGCCCTCCACCAAGCCATTCCTGTCCTCCACCTAGCCATTGGGGAGCCGGTCGGCCAAGCGGACAGCACGCGGGACTTGTGATCCTGGGTTCGATCCCAGCTGCCGGCGAGAAACAATGGGCAGAGTTTCTTTCACCCTATGCCCCTGTTACCTAGCAGTAAAAGGTACCTGGGTGTTAGTCAGCTGTCACGGGTTGCTTCCTGGGGGTGGAGGTCTGGTCGAGGACCGGGCCGCGGGGACACTTAAAAAAGCCCCGAAATCATCTCAAGATAACCTCAAGATTCCTGCCCTCCACCTAGCCATGTTATCCTGTCTATCTTTACTGTGGCCTCCTGTGCTCAAACATGTGGATGTGTTTCTGGATCCAGTACTCTTGGATTGTTTTTATCTTGCACAGGTGTTTGTGGTTTTTGCTTCTTGTTGCATTTTGGTTAGCAGTGCCTTTGGATCCTACTCTGAAGCCATGGCCATGTGTCTATTTGGGATCCGTTCCAATTTTCTTCCCAGGGTGTCACAGGCGGTGGCTAACTCTTCAGTTTTCCAATCTCAAGGTTTTGTGTGTGTCTGGTGGTCTAGTCTCTGGAAGTTCCTGGGGTTTCCCTTTACCTACAAGGTTGGTTCCCTTTCTGCATTTTGCTTGTGGTCTGTGATTGTAGATTTTTGGGATATTTTCCCTCTTGGGCCTGTTTTTTTTGGAATCTAGGCTCCTTTTCAGTTCTGGATTCTTGCCTTTGTTGAAAGTTGGTCTCTTAGTTGTCCTTGCCAGGCTCGTGAGTTTTCTCTCACTTTTGGGAGGGCTCAGGAGTACTGTGGTCTTCCTGCTCTGTTGTGGATGGATTGGCAAGGCCAGGGGAAAAGTGGTGTCATGAATGTCCTTGCTGGTTTTGGCCTACTTGCTTTTCCCTGAAGAGGTCATGCTTGCTGATTCATGTGGGGTAAGGGTTCTCATCAGCCTCTTTTTCAGGATTGGAAGAGCACCCCCTCTTTTCCAGGTTTGGTAAAGCTCCTCTCTTTCAGTAAGGGTAATAAAGAGCAGGTCCTTTTCTTATTAGAATTATTATAACAAATGTAAATTTATTACAATTGTTTTTGGTCATTTTGACCTATTGGTGAGGATAGGCTAATAAAATGGTATCACACTTAAAGGGTTATTGTTTTATTTGTCATAATTGGGAAAATACGATTTTCTAAATATATATTATTCATATCTATTGTATATTACAGGCAACCATAAATGATCTGGATATTGTAAATGAAGATCTATTTGAAGAAGCCCTTAAAATCTCCATGGATTCTCCATCTTTACCAGATGAGGAAACGGTAAATGTCCTCCCGTCTGACTTACTACCAATGAGAAATGACGTGTTTGGGGTTGACACCAAATACATTTATAGAGTGGTAAGTCTTTTTTTGTATTTTTTTGTTTACCGCTAAAATTGCCACGAGAGTGAAAAACACCGCGGCTTTGTGAAAGTGGGAAACATAGCAGACTAAGTGGTCCGTAGTGGGTGTGGCCACAGGTAGGTGACACTAGTGGGTGTGGCCACAGGTAGGTGACACTAGTGTGGGTGTGGCCACAGGTAGGTGACACTAGTGTGGGTGTGGCCACAGGTAGGTGACACTAGTGTGGGTGTGGCCACAGGTAGGTGACACTACTGTGGGTGTGGCCACAGGTAGGTGACACTAGTGTGGGTGTGGCCACAGGTAGGTGACACTACTGTGGGTGTGGCCACAGGTAGGTGACACTAGTGTGGGTGTGGCCACAGGTAGGTGACACTAGTGTGGGTGTGGCCACAGGTAGGTGACACTACTGTGGGTGTGGCCACAGGTAGGTGACACTAGTGTGGGTGTGGCCACAGGTAGGAGACACTAGTGTGGGTGTGGCCACAGGTAGGTGACACTAGTGTGGGTGTGGCCACAGGTAGGTGACACTAGTGTGGGTGTGGCCACAGGTAGGTGACACTACTGTGGGTGTGGCCACAGGTAGGTGACACTACTGTGGGTGTGGCCACAGGTAGGTGACACAAGTGTGGGTGTGGCCACAGGTGACACTACTGTGGGTGTGGCCACAGGTAGGAGACACTAGTGTGGGTGTGGCCACAGGTAGGTGACACTAGTGTGGGTGTGGCCACAGGTAGGTGACACTAGTGTGGGTGTGGCCACAGGTAGGAGACACTAGTGTGGGTGTGGCCACAGGTAGGTGACACTAGTGTGGGTGTGGCCACAGGTAGGTGACACTAGTGTGGGTGTGGCCACAGGTAGGTGACACTAGTGTGGGTGTGGCCACAGGTAGGTGACACTAGTGTGGGTGTGGCCACAGGTAGGTGACACTAGTGTGGGTGTGGCCACAGGTAGGTGACACTAGTGTGGGTGTGGCCACAGGTAGGTGACACTAGTGTGGGTGTGGCCACAGGTAGGTGACACTAGTGTGGGTGTGGCCACAGGTAGGTGACACTACTGTGGGTGTGGCCACAGGTAGGTGACACTAGTGTGGGTGTGGCCACAGGTAGGAGACACTAGTGTGGGTGTGGCCACAGGTAGGTGACACTAGTGTGGGTGTGGCCACAGGTAGGTGACACTACTGTGGGTGTGGCCACAGGTAGGAGACACTACTAATGTGTGTGTGTGTTTGTTTGTAATTACCTAAGTGTAGTTACAGGATGAGAGCTACGCTCGTGGTGTCCCGTGTGTGTGTATTCACCTAGTTGTATTCACCCACTTGTGTTTGCGGAGGTTGAGCTTTGCTCTTTCGGCCCGCCTCTCAACTGTCAATCAACTGTTTACTAACTCCTTTTATAGTGTGGGTGTGGCCACAGGTAGGTGACAATAGTGTGGGTGTGGCCACAGGTAGGTGACACTAGTGTGGGTGTGGCCACAGGTAGGTGACACTACTGTGGGTGTGGCCACAGTTAGGTGACACTACTGTGGGTGTGGCCACAGGTAGGTGACACTAGTGTGGGTGTGGCCACAGGTAGGTGACACTAGTGTGGGTGTGGCCACAGGTAGGTGACACTAGTGTGGGTGTGGCCACAGGTAGGTGACACTAGTGTGGGTGTGGCCACAGGTAGGTGACACTAGTGTGGGTGTGGCCACAGGTAGGTGACACTACTGTGGGTGTGGCCACAGGTAGGTGACACTAGTGTGGGTGTGGCCATAGGTAGGTGACACTAGTGTGGGTGTGGCCACAGGTAGGTGACACTAGTGTGGGTGTGGCCACAGGTAGGTGACACTAGTGTGGGTGTGGCCACAGGTAGGTGACACTAGTGTGGGTGTGGCCACAGGTAGGTGACTCTAGTGTGGGTGTGGCCACAGGTAGGTGACACTAGTGTGGGTGTGGCCACAGGTAGGTGACACTAGTGTGGGTGTGGCCACAGGTAGGTGACACTAGTGTGGGTGTGGCCACAGGTAGGTGACACTAGTGTGGGTGTGGCCACAGGTAGGTGACTCTAGTGTGGGTGTGGCCACAGGTAGGTGACTCTAGTGTGGGTGTGGCCACAGGTAGGTGACACTAGTGTGGATGTGGCCACAGGTAGGTGACACTAGTGTGGGTGTGGCCACAGGTAGGTGACACTAGTGTGGGTGTGGCCACAGGTAGGTGACACTAGTGTGGGTGTGGCCACAGGTAGGTGACACTAGTGTGGGTGTGGCCACAGGTAGGTGACTCTAGTGTGGGTGTGGCCACAGGTAGGTGACTCTAGTGTGGGTGTGGCCACAGGTAGGTGATACTAGTGTGGGTGTGGCCACAGGTAGGTGACTAGTGTGGGTGTGGCCACAGGTAGGTGACTAGTGTGGGTGTGGCCACAGGTGACTAGTGTGGGTGTGGCCACAGGTAGGTGACACTAGTGTGGGTGTGGCCACAGGTAGGTGACTCTAGTGTGGGTGTGGCCACAGGTAGGTGACACTAGTGTGGGTGTGGCCACAGGTAGGTGACTCTAGTGTGGGTGTGGCCACAGGTAGGTGACACTAGTGTGGGTGTGGCCACAGGTAGGTGACTCTAGTGTGGGTGTGGCCACAGGTAGGTGACTAGTGTGGGTGTGGCCACAGGTGACTAGTGTGGGTGTGGCCACAGGTAGGTGACACTAGTGTGGGTGTGGCCACAGGTAGGTGACTCTAGTGTGGGTGTGGCCACAGGTAGGTGACACTAGTGTGGGTGTGGCCACAGGTAGGTGACTAGTGTGGGTGTGGCCACAGGTAGGTGACACTAGTGTGGGTGTGGCCACAGGTAGGTGACACTAGTGTGGGTGTGGCCACAGGTAGGTGACTCTAGTGTGGGTGTGGCCACAGGTAGGTGACTCTAGTGTGGGTGTGGCCACAGGTAGGTGACACTAGTGTGGGTGTGGCCACAGGTAGGTGACTAGTGTGGGTGTGGCCACAGGTAGGTGACTAGTGTGGGTGTGGCCACAGGTGACTAGTGTGGGTGTGGCCACAGGTAGGTGACTAGTGTGGGTGTGGCCACAGGTAGGTGACACTAGTGTGGGTGTGGCCACAGGTAGGTGACACTAGTGTGGGTGTGGCCACAGGTAGGTGACACTAGTGTGGGTGTGGCCACAGGTAGGTGACACTAGTGTGGGTGTGGCCACAGGTAGGTGACACTAGTGTGGGTGTGACCACAGGTAGGTGACTAGTGTGGGTGTGGCCACAGGTAGGTGACTCTAGTGTGGGTGTGGCCACAGGTAGGTGACACTAGTGTGGGTGTGACCACAGGTAGGTGACTCTAGTGTGGGTGTGGCCACAGGTAGTCTGGGTGTGGCCACAGGTAATCTGGGTGTGGCCACAGGTAGGAGACACTAGTGTGGGTGTGGCCACAGGTAGGTGACACTAGTGTGGGTGTGGCCACAGGTAGGTGACACTAGTGTGGGTGTGGCCACAGGTAGGTGACTCTAGTGTGGGTGTGGCCACAGGTAATCTGGGTGTGGCCACAGGTAGGAGACACTAGTGTGGGTGTGACCACAGGTAGGTGACTCTAGTGTGGGTGTGGCCACAGGTAATCTGGGTGTGGCCACAGGTAGGAGACACTAGTGTGGGTGTGGCCACAGGTAGCATTAATGTGGCCAAAGGCAAGTGACATTATTGTTTATTGTAGCATACTGCATGTATTTTGCTAGAACAAAATTCAACATTACCAATGAAGTTTTACCTTTGTTATTTACAAGAGCTATCCTCCATCTATGAGGGCTCTGATCCTACTTATACTGTACTCACAACTCTTTATATGATGCTCACATCGGATTTGTGATGGTATTTCCTAGTTTTAACCACTGTGGTTATTCCTTGCAACTTCATCTATTTCTGTCGGGAGCCCCGTCGGCTCCCCGGAGTTTACCGGGCTGATGTGTGTGTGTGTGTTAGACCATTGCATCAGTCTTGAGGTTATCTTGAGATGATTTCGGGGCTTTTTAGTGTCCCCGCGGCCTGGTCCTCGACCAGGCCTCCACCCCCAGGAAGCAGGCTGTGACAGCTGACTAACACCCAGGTACCTATTTTACTGCTAGGTAACAGAGGCATAGGGTGAAAGAAACTCTGCCCATTGTTTCTCGCCGGCGCCTGGGATCGAACCCGGGACCACAGGATCACAAGTCCAGCGTGCTGTTCCCTCGGCCGACCGGCTCCCTAATGGGAGTTCTTGCATTCTGGGGACCATGAACCAGAACCTTGCCCCTTGCCACGAGGAGCAATGGCCTATGGAAACCCCCATGTGTTTGGAAGTATTCCATGTCTGCCATCGACTGGGGTTTAGCACCCAGAAAGGTAGGCGTAACAAAACAACCTCATAACCTCATATGGTAAAAATTGCTACCTAAATACTGAACAGGGAGGCAGAACTTCCAAACTAATACAAGCAAACAAGCAAATGTCACTAACTACATTAGTGATGCAGTAACCCCCACCGCCACCATCACTACACCGTGCTGGCCACTACAGCATTCAGTTCCTAAGTACTGCCCTTGCGTCTTGGGGTTATCTTCCACAGGGCATTCGGGAACCGCTCCCATAGGGGTCTTTTGCTGCCCGGCAATTGCCCACCCTTTGGGTCAGCTGGGGTTGTTGTGGTTCCTGTTTGACATTGGGTAGGGAGTGGTGTCATTGCTGGTTGCTGGCAAGGTATTGTGCAGCTTGTCTCCCATTACACAGTGGCGGGTTCTGTTCTTCCTGGAGACGTGCTTTCATAGGATTTTCTTTTTCTTTTTGTTTGCTTTGCCTGGTGAGGGTCTTTCCCTTTGGTTGTGTCTACCTATTGTTGTATTGGTGGTCCTCCGCTAGGCCCCTGTGCTTGTACACATCGCAGGGGTTCAGATTTTTAGCAGGTCTCTTGGTAGTTTGGGTCCAACCGGTTAGCAATAGCTTGCCTGGGTTTCCCTTAGCAATCAGCATAAAGGCCCTGAAAAAGTCCATTGGGG